AGGGAAGACACAGCCAGTCACTGAAAGGGGCACTCTGTGGGGTGAAAGAGGTATCATCCCCACAGGGCTTCCTGGTCCTGCTGCCACTTCATTTAGACAGATGCTGGAAGGGGGTGGCTGGGCACACATTAGAGTCCTTTAGGGAGCTTTTAAAAATGCCCATGCCTGAGCCAACACCTCCTCCTTTTCTTTACCCAACCGCACCCTGAGATTCTGACTCACTGGAGAGAAGTGAGCAGACAGGAGGATGGGAGGAGGCTTCGGGGGGCAGAGGAGGTTTCAGACAGTGAGCAGCGCTCAGGAGGGCAGGCAGCCTGGCAGTCAGCTGCCAGTTCTCCGACTCGGCAGCCTCTTTCTGCTCTCTGGATTGCCAGAACTCACGGAGAAAGAAAGGGCCCCCTCGGGAAGGACTCCCACGACAACACAGCAGAGCTGGGCCCTCCTACTGGACCAGGCCCAACAAGTTGGTTCCAAATGAGCTAATGAATGAATATCTAGTGCAGGGATCGCTCTGTCCGGGTCTCACGGCTTGGCTTTGAGCCCCACACCTGGCTCTGATAAACTGTGTGACCTAGGCTGAGTTACTAACCTGGCTGAGCCTCAGCTTCTCCACCTGTGGATGGGACCAATAACTGCACCGACAGATTCCTGGCGTCCATACTCTTTAAAGCTGTGGGGCTATTGTGGTTTCCATGGCCTTTATTACCATGTCCACAGGGGGGCGCAAGAAGGCTTCTTGTGCTTCTGGGGTGGCCTCTTCCTTTTTCCTCCTCCATTTTCAAGGGCTTCTCTTCCCTTCCCCTCCCTAGCATACCTTGTCTGGGGACACTACCCCCCCGCTCTGTGACGTCACTCTTACAAGGGCATCCCCAAACCAGGGCCAGTCCTGCTGTCCCAGGGAATCTGCAATGCTACCATACTTCTTGTGTCCACAAGATGGCACTCGACCCCCAGGCCTTGTTTATCTGTTTAGCAACTATTTAATAGCTGCCCTGGTGGCGCCAGGCACTGGGCACAAAGGTGAGTGCGTAGAGATAAAAATACGACAATGCCTCCTTTCTAGGATTTCATGGCTGAGAGGGAAGCACAAAGACCAGAAAACAAAGGATTCCCTTGAAAAATGAGAATTGGTGCTGAAGTCAAGGCCAAAATCCAAGGTCTGGGTGATTTTGGAGACCAGCCCTACCTTCTATTAGACACGGGAAACTGAGAGGTAAGCAGCCCAGGGGTCCCCAGCCCAGGCCCGTGCCTCCCTCTCCATCCACTTGATTTCTGTTTCTCTTGAGGAATTGAGGACAGAGACCGGATGTCGCATCCCAAATGGAGTCCCTGAAAATCCCAGAAAGACATCTGGGTTGTCCCTAAAGGGGTCCTGTGTCTTGGGGGCTGGAGGGCCACCACCCTTCCCCCTTCTATCCCACACCTCGCCCCACCACAACCCCCCCAAAAGGTGAGAGGGTGGCTGTTTGGAAGAAGGCCTCCCGTCACTTGGTGACCCCATTTTTTCCCCAGGCAGCCCTGACAGGACCATGGGGTCAGGGTAGTGACGGATTTTAGTCTATTCAAATTCCCCTGCAGCAGGGGGTGCAGAGCCTACCACCGGAACACCTGGAGTGGCTGGTTAAGGAGATTCAGGGGTCCACCTCAGGCCTACAGTGTTCGGGACCCTCTCCCGCTGTGGACCAGAAATCTGCCATTTCAACACCCGCCTCCCCAAGATTCCTACAGTCAGACAAGTTTAGGGAACTCTACCATGGAGGAGTTATAGGAACCTCGCTCTGTACTGATGCCAGCAGCGGGCCGTGAGTGGGATGAAATAGGACAGACTCGGGAGGGGAAGCAGGGGGAGGGAGGCTAAGACAGGCCAGGCTGTGTAGGACATGGGAGGTGACCACAGACCTGTGCTGAATGAAATAACTTGGTCGAAGTGGATCTAAAGAGCCTCTGATGCATCGGAGTGCTGGGCTAGGAGACCAGCTGCTCTCTAACTTCCCAGAAGTCTGCATTCCTCTTGGCCTCCTGGAGGCTGGGACACTTGGGCAGGAGCCCTCTTTAGGAGGGGAGCCCAGCGTCCAAGCGGAGGGTTAAATCTGACCATCACTGCCTCTGCTATTTCTCGAATCAGAAATCTTTGTTACAAGACTGCGCGAAGACATTTGAGGGTTGCGGCCATCTAGACTCCGCTGAAACTGAAGGGCAGTACTCTGGGAGTCAGAAGTAAGAGGATTATAAATTCAAGCCCATCCTGGGCAATTTAGGGACTTAGTGAGACTCAGTCTCAAGATAAGAAAATTAAAGGGCCAGGGATGTGGCTCAGTAGGGCCTCCCCTGCCTGGCAAGCGCAAGATCCTAAATTCGATCGCTGGTACAAAAATAGTTACAAGTGGTGGGGGGTGGCTCAGTGCAAAGGCCCCGAGTTTAATCACTCGTTCCATAATAAAATAGACCGAGGGGCCAGGTAAGGAAGGGGCAGAGGAGGCTTCATCAGGGATCTCAACACAGGATGTGGGTGGGGCTCACCTTCCTTCTGGGTCCCTGATGAGGTTGTGAAAGGCAGAACTCCCTGCCTGGGTGACTACGAGGAGGCAGGGACTGCGCAGTGGGGCTCCCAGTGAAAGGGGTGAATTTCCCATGAGAGAGGAAAAGTGGAGGTGAAGAGGTTATGTTGCAAAGGAAAGAGTTCAGGATTCAAGGTTTGGGGTGAGGAGGTCCACATACAAATATAAGATCCTTATGGAGATGAACCCCCGAACTTCCCAGGTCAGAACAGATGGATGGGAGGGAAACTATTCCCCCAAAGTCCTGCCTCTGTCCCTGACTCTCTAGTCCCTACTGGCTGTAGGGGAGCCCTGTATGTCCTGCAGCACTGTGGTCCACATATGACCAGAAAAAACTTCCCCTGGGCCATTGTGAGGACAGCTGAGTCAGGGTGGCCTCTTAAAAACTCATTTTCCTAGCACCTTGCGCCCTGTGATCAGGGATGGTGACTTCTCTTCTGCTGCGATGAGGGTGAGTTCCCTTTATGATCGCAGTGAACCGCGGATCGTTGGAGGGACTGCCTCGCCCTCTTGCCCTCCAGCTGGAGCAGGGAACTGAGTGTGACATTCAGCTGTCACCTGTAGCCCCCGCTGCCCTTCTACCACCTGCCCCAGAGGTCCTGGGCTGGAGCTGGCCCTGCTCACTGCTGGGGGGGTGGTGGTCAGCAATTACACATGGGGAGATACCCTGACTTTTATGGCTCGGGGGCGGCAACATCGAGGCCACTGTGACATCCAGTCAGGACTCACCTCACTGGGGACGCTGAGGGGCAGTTTCTTCTCTGCTCTTTTATTGAGACGTGAAAAATGAGAAGGACACGCACGTTCTAAACCCAGACACCGCTGGGTGCTGCTCACCACCGGCCCCTCCCTGACCAGAATCTGCACCCCGAATCTGGGAAGGAGCACGCAGAGCTCAGGTTCTCAGTTTATGGGTAATAGACAGTCCTCTTTGCTTGTTAATCCAATCCTGGAGGAGGAAAAACATGGCAGTGATGGTACCAGAGCCTCAGTCCCACTGCGGAGTGTTCGGAGAAGACCAAATGCACGAGGACAATTCAAATTCAGCAGTGTCCACATCTGCAGATCCCACGTCTGTGCAGCCTCTTCCGGGTGTGACCTCTTCTCGGGGTCCCTCCCATTCCTCCAGTCACCTTCATGCATAGCCTCTCCCCTTCAGTCTCATCCAGGGGTTGAACTGTATCCCCCCAAATTTTCCATGTTGAAGCCCTAACCCCCAGGACTTCACTCCGGATGTGGGGTCTTTGCAGATATTAACCAAGTTCAAAGAAAGCCTTTCCAGGGGGACCCTAATCCAGTATGTCTATGAGCTTATGGAAAAAGAAATCTGTAACCAGAGACACCCACAACAGGAGGATGACCCAAAGAGATCCAGGCAGAAGGCGCCATGTGCACTGCAGGAAGAGGGTCCCGGAGCAGACAGACCCTCCCTCCGGGCTCTCAGGAGCCAGCACTGTCCATCCTGGGCTTGGACTTCCTGACTCCAGAAGCAGCGTGGTAGATGGTTCTGTGTTGTCCCTTCCAATGACCCATGTGCTCCCCTCTTGATTTCCCTGCTTACGACCAGCAGAGAGTCCCGCATCCCAACCCCTGCAATCCTCTCAGCTGCTTTCCAATCTGAGACAAGCCTCCCCCGCATGACCAGCACAATCCCCGAGAGGCTGGCCCTCTTTCCCGACACACACACAGCTGGGTGACCGCTGTGCAGACCGGAGAGTGTGTCAACACCTTACTGATCCCGGAAAGCAGCTGTAGAACCCACCCCTGGCTGGAGTGACTTGAGGACACAAGAGTTCTGGATTTCAGACGGCTGGGGTGCTAGGAGAGAGGTCAGCATGGGGGCTGATGTCGGTAAGAACGACAGCAGGGAGCAACCTTTAATAAATATTGATGAAGAACTGGTGAACGAGGAAATGAATGAGCCAAATGTTGTTCCCATGTGTGCTGCTGTCTGCCCCGAGGGATGCAGCGCGCTTCAGAATAATGAGCTTCGCTCAGAGGGGCAGCAAATGACACCAACACACCAACCTGCACCAGGATCACACTCCCAACTCAGTCTCCGGAGAAGTGGGTGGGGTCCCCTGCCAGAGACAGCGATGAGCACACCCCTGTCCCCAGGCCTCCGTCCTGAGCCTCCTCCAAAATCCTCCTGCTGGGAAAATGAACTAGAAATGCTGGGCGGGGTGACAGCCCGTGGTCCTTCAGGCAGGAAGGGATGGGGAAGAGGTGTCACCAGCAATCCCTGCTCCTTTGGCCTTTTAAAGGCTGGGACAAGGACACAGGACAGCCGAGGCCAGAGAGCCCCCCTGCTAACACTCAAAGGCTCTTTTTTTGTCTTCTGTTTTCAAAAAAAATCCTTGGGGCCAGGGATTTAGCTCAGTGGTTCTGTTACCTGCCTCACAAGTACAAGGTCCCAAGTTCGATCCCTGAGTACAAAAAAAAAAAACACTTCAATTAAAAAAAAAATCCTTGAATTTAAAAAAATATGTAATTTAGGGCTGGCGATATTCCTTGGAGGCAGTGTTTGCCTGGCATGCAATAACCCCTGAGCTCAATCCCCAGTACACAAAAATAAATGCATTTTACAGTTGTAACGCCAGCAGCTCAGGAGGTTGAGGTAGGATTACAAATTTGAGCCCCAGGGTGATTTGGTAAGAACTCGTCTCAAAATAAACACTAAAAAAGGGCTGATGATATATCTCCGTGCAATGGCCCAGAGTTCAAACCTCAGTACTGGAAATACAGGCAAATATGAATACGCAGGGGGAGGGAGAAATATTAAAACCATGGCCCTTGGAGTCCGGGACTGCGTTCTTCTCACGCTTCTACTTTGCATGTGGGGTGGGGGTAAGGCCACCTGCACCTGCCCCAGCCTCGCCCTGCTCCACCTGGCTCTGCTGACTTAGCAGAGACTGAAGGGGTGCTTCCCCAGCTGTAAACCCTACCCTGGGTGGCTCGCATGTGCGTGCGTGTAAAGGGCCCTGTCTGTGACTCCCTGATGGAAAGAGAACAGAGACAGAGCCCCGTCACGTCCAGTCTGCCCCCGGTGTAACCCACAGCTGGGCCCCTGCTGCCCGAGGGGCTCACTGTGAGTCTTTCTGGTGCCCCAGACGCTTACATCAGGCAGAAGTGGACAAAGTGCTGGTACAGACAGGGGAGAAACCAGGCTGCATGCTGCCCAGCTGTTGTGGCGAAGACCACAGTCCCGCGGGCTGGCCCGGGATGGCTGTCAACCAGCAGAAAGAAGAGGGAATCCTAGGTGTCAGAGCAGACCCTGCTTTGTGTGGCTGGCTCACCATAACCCCTAGGGGACTGGAAGGGGGCCCAGGTGAGTTTGCACACAGGTGACACTTGCCACCTCTAGAGACATTTGAGGTGGTTACACCGCAGGGTGATGGTGCTGCGTAGAAGGTAAGGATACCACCAGCATCCCCCAGTGCACAGCCCCTACCACAAACAGTGATCCTACAAAAATGTCAGTGGTGATGGGCTGACCCAACCAAAGGCAGTGGACAGGGTTCCTACATGCCCTCGGTCGTCACCCCTTACCCCAACTCTATGAGCCTTCAAAGTTCCTCCTCTTGGGGAGGCCCTGCACCAGCTTTGTGGGGGGCTAAGAGATATGGGGATGAATGTGGTAGGTAATGGGGTCTGGGTTCAGATTAGCTGGTGCCACAGGGCCCCGGAAGAGGTCATGGGCAATTGCAACCCCATGAGACCAGGAGACAGAGGCCCTGAGGGGTGGGAGGAGGATGAGGGCCTCTCCAGGGCCAGAAGAGGTGACATCTGGCCCAGGGATCTGGTGACAGGGTGCCGGGGCGGGGCTGGGGCCTGGCTGGAGAGTGACAGCGGACACCAGATTCTATGGGCCGCTCCCCTCCCCCATGCACCAGGGGCCTGGAGCAGGAGGCTCCCGAGCAGGGGTCCACAGTGGTGCTGGTGGTTCCCGGGCCTGAGGCTCTCTGCCCATCCCGTACAACCTTCCAGGGGCCACTGCTGCTGAGGTATGCAGGGAGCCATTGCGCCTTTGCACAAACAGGAGTTCGATCCTTCTCCATGGACCAGCACCTGAGCCGGACCAGGACCCACTTTGGTCAGGGACTGGCACCCTCACCCCCGACCCAGGCCCTCTGTCTGAGGCACAACCAGGAGTAGCTCTGGCCTTTGTCCAGTTCTGCTCCCGACCCCTGAGGCTGAGGTTCCCTCCCAACTTGTGGGGACTCAACTCCCAGCGTAAGCAGAACTAGGCAGAGGCAGACCTGAGGCTGCCCTGCTGGGCAAGGAGGCGCAGCCTGGAAAGGCCCCACCCAGCCCACCAACACTGCTTCCACACAGACCCCGTGGACCTGGCCAAAGAGGGTGGGCACCAGAGTTCACCTGCCACAGCATCTCCAGGGTAGGTGCCAAGGCAGCATTTGCTGAAGGACCAAATGAAGTTTGATCCCAGCCGTGCAGCCTGGCTTCTTGCACTTCTTGTGTGCCTAGACTACGCTCCTACCACCTTTAGCATTGGTTCTCTCCCTTGCTGACCAGGACACTGCCCATTGTCCCTCTCCTTGACATTCCCTTCCAGTGCAGAAACTTGCCACCCCACTCACTGTTGGGATCTGGCACATAAGGCACAGCAGTGGACAAGGGAGATGTGGAACCTCCAGGGGCAGCTACCTGTGAGGTCTGATCCTCAGACCAGCTAGCCTGACCAGAGCACCTGGATGCTCTACCTTGGCCATGACCTTCATGGGGGTTACCTCGGCTAGGACACCAAGAATGAACTCAAGGTGTTGGTTTTCCCGTTTTCCAGATGAGGAGGTTGAGAGTCAAGGGAGGACCCAAGGCCATAGAGCTGGTAAGAGCAGCACTTGAACCCACGGCTGGCCTGATTACTGTCACGTTCTCTCCACTCCGTCGCCACTCCTGCTACAAGGGCAGTTGGTCCCCACCTCCTCAATCACTGCCATCCCGGAGGGACCCACTACCCCCACCTTTGCCCATTAGCAGCAGCCTTTTCTCCAGGAGGATGAGGTCAGAGCCACACCCGGGGGCCCGAGAAGGATGAGGTCAGAGCACTGCCAGTCTGGTGCAGATGCTGAATAATTCACGTTGCTGCTGTGGGTGGGGGCTGCAGCTTCCGGGAGGGCCCAGTGTGGAGACAGCAGACAGGAAGCAAAACCGGATCACCGGCACCTGCACCCGACCTGGGCCACCCTCCAGGGACAGAGAAAGCATTAGCCTTGATGGGAATGGATGGAAAGGCTGACAGACCCACTCTGAGCGGCGTCCCCAGGGGCCAGTTGCCTAACCCTCCCCTTTCTTTGACTAGGATTTGGAAGGCACTGGTAACGGAGTGTGTAGCCACAGGAACTGGCTGGAAAGCTGGGCATGGCACCTGCTGGGTCCTCCTGACCTGGACCCACTGTGCCTTTCTGAAGACAGAGCATTTCACTGGGCTGTCCCAGCTGTTCCCCCAGCCTGGCCAGTCAGCAGCAGGGCTGCCATCAGGGATCCCTGGTCCCTGGGCTTGGCTGGATAAGATCTCGATGTCTTTTGGAGGCCTGGTTTTCCCCTAGAGTAAGTCCTCAACCAAGAGAAAGGTGTGTCCGAATTAAACCCCCTTTGTTGTTATAAAAGGCAGGGGTCTGGGGTAAAAGAGAAAAATATATACACACATACACACTCATGTCACTGAATTCCTCATGAACACACAGGAAGTCAATGCAGCGGCCCCTCACAAGTGAGGACAGTTGGTTAATTCTGCGCCATTATGAAGATGAAACCCCTCTGCCTCCAGCTACAGGGTCTGACAGGGTGGGGTTGACATTTACCCAGGTGCTGGTCCAAGGTGATGACCTTGCACCAGAAAATGGCCTGCTCTAGCTTTTTCCCACTCCACACTTGCGTTCAATTCATGAAGCCCCTCTCTCTTCCTAAAACACATCTGTTTATCAGGCGCGATGACAACCGTCTGTAATCCCGACGACACTCAGGAGGCTGAGACAGGAGGATTGTTGCAAGTTCCAGGCCAGCCTGAAGTACTCAGCAGGACCCTCTCTCAAAACAAATCCAAACCTCAAAATAAAATTCATCTATGCTCTCCATTCAGCGCAGGACTGGGGATTGCAAGACCACTGGGCACTCTGGAACCTGGGCCAGCCTGCACCTGTTAGGAGCCCATCCCCTGTAACTACCCCCTGCAGGCCCCAAAGCTCAGGTACAAACACACCCAGGTCCACCACAGGCTTCACCCCTGGCCACCTAATGCAGCCGGGGACTCTAGAACAGTGAGCTCACCACTGTAAGGGACCTTGAGGTTGCTCACCCATATCAAGAGCAGGCTGAGATGCTCGAGAGCTGTCCCTTCCCCTCACAGAAAGTGCTACCCTATTTGTAGAACTAAGCAATCATGTACAATGGGCGGGGTGTGTGTCACACGTAAGGGTACAGCCCTGCTCTGTGGGAACTGTTCACCCAGCTAAGATCCGCAGAATTACTCCAGTGACAAAGGCACAGGCTGCTGCAGATAGGAGGGTGGCACTGGGAGTGCTGTCTCCAAAGCTGCTTGTCCTCACCCTCCACCTCTGCACCCAGGGAGGCCCCCTCAGATGAGCCGGCTCTGTCCAGTACCCAAAGACAGGACAAAGGTAGGGAAGAGGATGCTGTGCGCAGACCTGAGTCCCCTGAGTCTGGGGCTGTGTTCATCGCTCTCCTTGGTGGCAGCGTGGTCCCGAGAATGTCCCCTCTTCCCTGGCTGCCATCAGGACCTCCCCAAGTGCATCCAGGACCAAGGACACAGAGGCTGCTCCAGTGATGAAGGTAGCACCAGCACATCCTGATGCCTCAAGAATCTCTGCTGCCCAAGGTGAGGTAGGAGCTTAGACATCTACCAATCTGAACCAGTGGAATCTTCAGGGGCGGGCCCCGCTTACTCAGCGGGCTGCCCCAAACCCCAGGAGTTTCAGTCACAGGAGAGGCCTAGACTCCACCACCCTTAACTGGTTCCCAAGAAAGCAGCCCCGATCCCAACCCTGTGTCCCCTAAGAGCCCTAACCAGATGTCCAGGTAGCCACAGCAGGCTCCCACTTTTCCCCAGAACCTGCGAGATCCAGGTAATTCAGGGGCATCTACACCTGCACCTGTCACCAGAGCCACTTTCCAAGCTGGCTAAGAGTAGACACCAGCGAGAAGGCCTGAGGCACACAACTGGTGCTGAGCCCCAAATGTCACTATGGGCTGCCAACTCCTCTGTGGGGTGCTCCATGAGGTATTTCTGTACGATAAGAGCTTCCCTGGTTGGGGCCAGTGTGGCAATCCCTGTCCCGGCCGGTGAGGGGGAGGAGGGAAAAGAGAGGGGCCGGGGCTGGCCCTGCTGGGGGGTGGGCCTGGTTTGCTGCAGGCGGGGAAGGCTTGGTCAGTCAGTGGCTCAGATCCAGGACCCAGGGGCCATGAAGAGAAGCAGCACCTATCCAGCCAGCTCAGTGGCCTTCCGTAGTCCAGGTGTTGGCAGAAGGCTCTGGGGAGAAGGGCAAGGGATAACTTCTGCCATGGCTTGGTTTCAAAGCCGCATGTAGGAGGTCCACCCAAGAGCCGACGCCAGACACGAAGGTGGCCGGGCCAGAAAGGTCCAGTGTCAAGACAGGGGCAGCTAAGGCCTGCTATTCACAGCAGGGTGGCCAACTGGAGAACGGCGTGGGGACACCGGGGCTGTGATATGGAAGGGTTGTCGGAGGGGAGCTGGGAGTCTGCATGCAGCTCCTCACAGCTGCAGTGGCTGGGCTGGGCAGAAAAGAGGCGGCCCTAAGAGGCCCAGTCACATCCCTCAGGCCTTCACAGGCCCCCTCTCTGTCCACTTCTTCAGGTGGTGGCCTCCGGTCCCTCCCAGCTCCAGTGACAAGGGCAGGAAAGGTGCTGGGCTCTGCCCAGCCTGGGTACAGAGGAATGAGGACATCAGGATGCCGTTCGGTCCAGGGAAGAGGGCGTCTACCATCTCGTTTTATTTTGCGGGGACTGAGCCTAAAGTAACCAGAAAGAACAAGAGTCAAAGGGGAAGGACCCTACTGCTGAGGGCCCAAGTACTGGATTTTACTTAAAAAACAAACAACAACAAAAAATGTTTCGGTCCCCAGGGCCTGGTACAATCTGAATATAGAAGCAGAAATTTGGGAGACTTTTTTTTTTTTTTTTTTTTTTTTTCTGGCAACCTTTCTCTTCCTTTCAACAAAAACATTTCACTTCTAGGGCCAGGGATTTAGCTCAGTGGTTCCGCCGCCTGCCTCTGCAAGCGCAAAGACCAGAGTTCGATCCCTGGTACCAAAACCAAACAAAACATTTCTCTTCTACAACTTGGTGTCAGAAAATAGCTTCTGACTAGCTGCAGAGAAACTTGAAAAGCCTGGAGCTGATGTCCAGGAGTCAGGACACCGCTGTGTCATCCACACGGCCGAGGGAGCTGCTCACAGCCCCGGCCCGGGACCCACCAGCAGTCCCCGGAGGGCCAGAGAGAAGGGTGCCAGACAGCAGTTTTGAGAAAACCTGGCCAGCCTTGGTGTGGCCACCCAGAGGCGGTGTGGCCTCTCTGGGTCACTTTGCTTACCTATAAAGAGGTGGGCAGAAGGTGAGACAACTACTCCTAAGGCCCCTATCTAACCCTAAAATGGTAGCATTTGGGGATTTCAGCTCTAGAGATGGGGCAGAAATTCTAGTCCTCCTTTCCATCCTCAGTTAAGATTTAACTAAGCTGCTGAGAACCAGCTTTTGCTGACTGCAAAGTACTGAGCAAATGGACATTTCAATTTCCAACTGAAGCAGGATCTGGCCAGGCCCTTCCTACCTTGGTGAACCCACGCTCAGACAGCTGGTGCTCTGAGCCATCCCACCCACATACTGCATGAAGTCTCCACCTTGCTCCTAAAGGACTTTACCTGTCCTCCACCCTAGAGGAGCTGAGATCAGCTGACCCCACCCCACCCCCAAGGTGCTGCTGGCTCTGCCTTCCCTGTTGTCTGTCCTCGCAGAGAGCCAGGGTTAGGGTCCTAGGCACCAGTGAAGCCCTGGATGTTTGCTCTGACGGCACTCAGTGAAGAGGGAGGCTCACTGACAGCCTGCCCTGGGGGAGGCCTGGGCTCCTTTGTTTTCCTATTGCAGTACTGGTGATAGAACTTCACACTGAGCTACGGCCCCACAGGTTTTGGGTGCTTTGTTTTTGTTTTTATGGTTTTCTTTTTTTTGAAATAGGGTCTGGTATATTGCTAAGTTGCCCAGGTTGGGGCCCCAATTCAGGACCCTCCCACAGTGCGGGGACAACAGTGCCGCTATACCCAGCTATGGCGCACAGTTCCTTAACTGCAGAAGACCCCAGCAGCAGGTTATAGTATGAGCCAGATGCGAGGGAAGGGAAAGAGGGTCCCACTGGTGTGGAAGGAGAGAGGTTTCACCTGAAGCTGAGGGCCCCTCCAGAAACCACGAACCCAGGGCACAAGTTAATAAAGCAGAAACGTGTTTATTCCTCACAGAGGAGCAAGACCCAGGCCCGAAGCACCTGCCCTGAGACCCCGAGGCTGCAGGAATCTCTGGAGAATGTAGGCGCGGCGCGGCCACCACCCCACGAACACTATTTGGCTGGAGCGAGACCGACGGAGTGGCCCTGGCGTGAAGCCAGGCTGGCTCCTGGACTCCGCAAACACTGAGTAGGTGGGGCCCCGGGACGCCCACAGAACGCTGGCGGTCAGGGGGACCTCGAAAGTCTGAGGCACAAGCTGCCCCAAGCCATCGAGGGGAAGGGGAGCCGCAGAACATGGGCTTCCTGGGGTGTCCCTAGCCCAGGCCAGGTCCCCAGGGCCCTCCCCAAATCCGCCCACCTCCTGCTGGCCAAGGCTGCCGCCTCAGTCCCACACATAAGGGTTTCTAAAGACCTGAGAGTTCTTGCCATCTTTGTGCGGCGAGGCCACCTGGTGGCTCTGGACTGTGTACATGTCTTCAGCCCGCAGGGTCGAGTTGGCACTGCCCATCACCTGGCTGTTGGCGGTGGCCCGTGGGAGGATGACGTCGTAGGGGCCTTCGGACTGGAAGGAAGAACAGGAGGCCTCACAGCCAGGGGGACCGGGAGCCAGGCTCCACCAGGACGAATGCACAAACACTCTGCTTCCTGCAGGCCTCTGCCTGCCAGCTCCCCCTTCTTGTCCCCTCTGCCCCCACTCCAGCCGGCTCCACTGGCAGCCTGGGGTGGACCACTGCACCCCTGGAACCTTGAGGGCTGACCTGGAGCCCCTAACCCTGCCTCCAAGCCTGGGATGGGGCTGTCTAGGGGCTTCTCCAAGAGGGCTCCTCTCTCCTCAGCCCCCTCCCACTTCCAGCGCTCTGGGAAAACTTCAAGGCCAAGGGAGGAGCTATTGCCCATCTGGTACCACTCCTAGGCTCCCTGCCCCCATGAACCTTACTGAGAGTTCCCTGAACGTCACTATGACACCAGACACCCTTCTTTAAGGGGGACACCCTGGACATGACCACACAGTCCTGGAGCAGCAGTCTGGACTGGCCTGCTGGATTTGGAGACTAAAAGCCCAAATGATCTCCCAGAGCAGGGGGAAGGGTCCTGGGGCAGCCAGCTCCCACCTGACAGAAGGTGACCTCCTGGCCCCACCTGACTTTTTTTTTTGTACCAGGGATTGAATTTGGGTCCTTGTGCTTGCGGGGCAAGTGGTGCACACTGAGCTAAATCCCCAATCCTTCACCCACCTGCCTTTTATCCTGGTAGTAGAGAGCTCCCTCCAGATCTCTCAGGCCTCAACCCAGCCTTTGTCTAGTTCTCCCTCCTGTTTGCAATCTCCTACTTCCTGCTGTCCGGAACATCTAAGTCAGGGGTCTCAAACCTGGGCAGCGCAGCTGGTGAAGCCACACCCCTCAGCTGGGCCCCAGCGGGAGGGAAGCTGGTAAATGTTTAACAACTGGGTTGGGGAGAAGGGAGCTGATGTTGTTCGCAGATCTGCCTGGCGGAGTTACTCCCACGGTGGGACCCGAGCTACCCAGGTGATGTCAACAATCCTGCAGACACCACAAGGGGTGCCAACAATCTCTCCCACTTCCAGCCGCACCCAATCTGCATTTTCAGCAAGTTCTCAGGTGATGCTAACTCTGGGGATCTGAAGACCATACAGAAAAAGTAACCCAGCTAGTCCAGTGAAAACACACCTGGGAGGAGACAGGGCAGCCATGGACGGAGTGGGGAGCTGAGGATGGCTCTGCAGCTGCCCATACCCATGCTGGGTACACAGCTTCCTCCCAGGACAGCTGCTGGCTGCAGCCTGGCCATGGGTTCAGGCTTAGGGAGCCGGGAAAGAGCGGGATTAGAAGTCTCAGACACTAGAGCCACCCAGCCCCTCCCAGGGCTCACAGCGGGAGGGGATGAGAACAGCACCCTGCTGACCTCCGGGCTTCCGGTTCCCAGCATTCTGCCAAGGCAGGTCACTGACCTCTCCGCACAGCCACTGCCAGCCGGGAGGAGGAACATATATAGGGAGTGGGAATCTCACCCACTGCCTTCCTGTTCCCACCCCCCACTCCTTGGCTAATGGAGCATCTGGCTTCCAGAGCCCTGGGGAGGTGTAAGGTCGGGCTTGCTGCCGGCTGGCAGGGGGAAGGAATTCAGACGCCCTCTTAAGACAGCTGTGGCTGAGAACTCAATACCTACCAGACCTGCTACAGCGGGTCCTCTAATGTCACTTTGAGAAGCACCTAGCTGAGATTCTCAGTCCCTCTCCCATCTGGTCACTCCCCCAGCTCAGGGGTCCAGGCTGTGTGTGATGCCCAGGGACACCAGCCAGGTCCCACTGCAGTAGGGCCACAGGCAATGGCTACATCAGGTCCAGGAAAGGGCGGCAAAAACTAGGGTGTCCCCGGGCGTACACCCCAGATGAGGAGCCAGCCTTTGGCTCTAACCTCCACTGAGCCCCACTCTACAGGGGCCAGCAGGTCCCAGAACCCCGGAAGCCCACTCACCGGGCCTTTGTGCATCAGAGCCATCTCCGTGGGCTGGTACACACTGGTCAGCAGCTGCCCGTTGTAGCCGCTGTAAGGTGACACGGGCCTCTTCGCTGAGGAAAGACAGGCATTGTTTGAGGGGCCCTCGATTCTCAGCCCCTTTTCCCATTTCCCACAACCCATGCACGCCGTCCTGTGGGCTGGGAAGAGGGGGCAGGGGACCACACCTGCTGTGGTGGAGCACCTAGCTTACCTCGGAGTGGCCGACTTGGGGTGAAGCTGGGGGGAGGTCCCCAAGCCCAGTGCCCTTTCGTACAGATGCACAGAAGAGCGCAACGCTGCTTGTGCTCCGGCTTGGGTCCCCTGCAGTGTGTGACACGCGCCCCTCCCCCAGCAGCTCGGATAAACGCCCAGTCAGCAGCCTTCACATTCCCCATCCGCCCTCAGGGCCAGAGGCCAACAGGGGCACACAGGCCTTCAGCTGCCTTCCAGGATGGCCAGCCTCTGGCTCCAGCTTCTACCACCTCGGGTCTGCTGCCAATACCAGAGGAAACACAGCTGAGACCCTTCGTCCAAGAACCTCCACGTCCGCACAGGGCAGGGCCAGCTGCCAAGGCCCCTCCACACCAGCCCAGGACCTGGCCAGGAGACTGTGGCTGTCCCTTCCCAGACCCCTAGGCAAAGTTCCAGAATCACCTGCAGCTCCGGGAATATTGCTCTGTGCCTGTGGGTGTTGGTTTCCCCACCGGTTCCACCCCGCTGGGCACCCCGGGGTGCTAGAGGAAAGCAGCTGACCAGCATGGGAGCAGACCTGTGAGGGCGGTGGCAGCAAAGTGCTGTTCCCTCCCATAGACTGAGGGACCACAGCCTAGAGAGGGCTTCTAAGTGCCAGGCTCACTCTATTGATCTTTCCATTTAGAGAGAGAGAGGAAAAAAGAAAACAAAACTCAAGGCCCGAAGTGTTTGCCGTAGGAAGACAGAAAAAGCTGAGAACTCTCTGGCTGGACATACGGGCCTCAGGACAGTGCAGGGTGAAGGGGAGTAGGGCTTGAAGCACCCGCAGCACTTGTTCCTAGACGCCCCTCTCCTGTTGCCTTCCTCCACTGCCCCTGCACACTCAGTGACCTACTCTGTGAGTGTCAGAGACCACCCCAGGGTGGGGGCAGTGAGCCCCGAGGCTGGGTCATAGATGGAGTGCCCAGCAGGTCAAAGGGTCACTTTTTCTCTTAAAGCACGGATGATGGGGATCTCACAGTATGAATGGACAGGGGTTTCTGTAATTCAGAGCTTCTACTGCCCGACTTCCAGCAGGGGCCCCGAGTCAGAAACACAAGGTAACCCAAGGGCCTCAAGCATCTTAAGTGGCACCAACAGGCCGGGGATGGGGTGGGGCTTTGAGCCCACCATGCCTCTGGTTTTCCAGGCCATATAAGGCGGGGCCACAGCCAGGCTAAGAAAAACATAAGGTACACACAACAGGAGCTTAGCATGGGGCCTGGCACACTGCAGGTGCCCCATAAATGCTGATGGTCCTCCGTGGCTCCATGAGAGCTGTTACAGTTTAGATATAAAATGGCCCCAAAGCCCTTTGAAAGCTGATTAGACTATTATTGCTTGTTTATTGAGACAGGATCTCACTGTGTAGTTCAGGTCATCCTTGAACTCACTATGCAGCCCAGGCTGGCCCCCAATCCTACCTCAGCCTCTGGGGCGCTGGGATTACAGGCGTGTGCCACCATGCCCAGCTGACTGGATTAACAAGGATGTTACAGTTCACTTGCTGCAATGACTTGCACACGTGAGGCAAGCACTCTACTACTGAGCTACATCATTAGCCCCTGAATTTAGGGACTTTGAATCAGAAAATTTCAAGAGCTGTCCATATTGCCCCAGTGACAAGCTCCCTGCCCTGTGTAAGTAATCGTGTAGCATAAAGAAAGAAGACCCAAGAGCATCTCAAAACCCACCTGAGGTTGGTTCATCCATGGAAAAGGCCTTGTTCTCCACAAACATGCTCTGGCCTGTCTGCTCTTTCAGGATGGTCTCATAACCCACGCCACGAGTGGGGTACATGTCTCCCTGGTAGCTCTGCTCTGGGCTGGCCTTGGTCACCTGGGAGACCTCGGGGATGACGTAGAAGAGGACAAAAGCCCAGGCATTGGCAGCGAGGGCGATGGCCAGCGTGGGGTCATCCCAGGTGGGGCTGTTGTGTTGCTTGTTGCTGTAGGTATACATGACAATCCACACCACCCAGATAGCAATTGAGGTGGCTGTGGCGAGCAGCACAAAGACACCATGCTTACGCCACCGCTTAAAGCGGCCACAGAGGGCGGGCCAGGCCCCCATGAAGGCCCCCAGCAACAGCAGCATCACGTAGATGAGCGCCATGACAAAGTCCACATTGGCGATGGCGCAGGGGGAGGCCACAGTCCCGCCAGCACTGCCGTTGCCCGGAGAGCCAACCTCACCGCCTCCCCGCACCAGGGTGATGATCAGCCACTCTGTGTTGATGATGACCTCCACGAGGGTCAGTAGCAGAGCCACGGTGAAGATCACCCAGCCCCGGGGCCCATGGTTCTTCCGGGCCAGGAAGTTGAGGGCAAAGACATGAGCCACCAGGCAGGAGAAGCAGATGGCGAACAGGACCCCAAAGAGGAACCTCCGTGAGGCACAGGTGGAAAAGTCGGGCTTCACCACACACGCAAACACAAGGCAGAAGAGGCCCAGGGTGCCTAGTAGGAAGAACACCTGGGTCCCCAGCAAGCTCCGTTTCTTGGTGTCCTGAACAAAGGGGAGACTGGCCACTAGGATGATGGTGAGCACAAAGGTGGTGATGATACCTGCCCCAGCCACTGCCTCCAGGACGATGCCCCAGGCCCCGGAGCGGTCACACAGGTTGTAGTAGAGGGGGTTGAGGTCTGAGCTGCAGCCAGGTGGGACATATGTTTGGGCCTGGGCCCCTGAGAGCAGGAAGAGAGGGAGTCCCAGACACATTAGCAAGGCCTTGGGGGTGGCCATCCCGGCTCCCAGGCCAGGTTCCAGGTGGGTCCCTAGAGATAGAGAGAGAAGGGGCAAAAATCAGCTGGTTCTCTGAGGCCAGGCTCCAACATGCACGGTTACTGCCTTCTCCATCCTGAAGGAGGACAGGGCAGACAGTCCTGAATGGTCACAAGACTTCCTTTGGGCTCGAGAATGCCTAACACAGAATTCATGACAATCTATCGAATGACCAGAGATAAAGCCCTTTTGCCATCTCTATTTCTAACCGTGCATTAGGAGGAGGTAACTGCCAGTGAATTTGCAGGTCTTTCCCTTTCATCTATCTTAACTGAATTTAAATATTCCTCGAGGTCTCGTGGCTAGGAGTGAAAGGACATGTAAGTCAAAACCAAGCACACAATCCATTCAGTACTTCCTCTATCCATGGCTGGTCGGCCACGTATTTCTTCATTCAATCATTTGCCAGTCAACAAGTACTTAACAAGCACTTGGGGAAGGCATAACCATGAGTCAGAAAAAAGATAGCTGAAAATTTGTTTTTATCAACTTTTCATCCTTCCCACGTCCTCTCAATTTTGCCCTCCATTTCCCCACTTTCAGTGCCAACTTTCCTCTTCAGAATTCTCTGCCTGGCTCAGATTTGAAAGTCAAGGATAAAATAAACAAACTCTCCTGCTAAGGAGTTAATGACTTCATGCAAAAATTCTCCTGTGAGGCATTAACATTTTAATAGCAAGAAACAGGCAACAGCAGGGCAAATCCTAGAGGAATTAATGTTTAGTGGAAGACTTTAAGACCTTGTAGCTAAAAAAGAAGCTATCTTTTTATTAACACCAAGAAGATGCGTTATTACTCCAACTACTCACTACAGCCCACAAAACGCGGCAGATCTGCACCCAAGAACGCCAAACCTCAACTATCCACACCTGTTGGATTTTCCCTGTGACGTGGATGTAAAGGACATTGCAGGTTAAGAGAAATTAGATGGGGTAGGGGCGCAGCTCAGTGGTACAGCCCTTACCTGCCATGTGTGTGGCCCAGGATCTGATATCCAGCTAGTCCACAAAAGTATATAAAGACCAAATCTGTGAACTTTCTAACTAAAATTTGAATTCTTCAAAAAGCAAGTCATAAGGGCCAAAATTCCATGAAATGCACATCTTCCACGTGTACATCACTCTGTATGTTCAAATACCGTGCCTAGATTTAGCCCTGCCTTTTCCTCCCAGCACTAGGAAGATGGCTCCAGAAAGCAACCAAGCTTTTCTAGCTGATAGCGACCACTAGTGGCTGTCAGGGGAACGGCATCGTCTATCTTCCCCACCATCTCTCCTTTTTTTTTGCCGGGCGAGGTGTTTCGTAGTTTACCTCCTTTCTGGTTTTCGTCATTCCAGCTACTTAATTTCCAATAAGTAAACAAACTCCTCAAATCTCAGTTTCGAGGAATTGTTTCTTCTTAGTAATTGAGAAGTGGGAAAATGTGTACAAACTCAGCAAAAAATGCAACTTGTGCAAGTGACATGATAATGATCAGTTTTTGAATGTTCCCATCCTTTGAAAATACATATTTTGGGTATCAAAAGCCATCTCGGCTATGTCATCTTTCAGTTAAGCTTGCTTATCCTCCACAAACATCTCCATTAACCCTTAACTGTAAAGTTCTTAAGTAAATTTACTGCTTCCCTAAACACTGGCACTGTAACAGTCATTTATTTTAATGCAAAAGCACCTATCCTCTACATTCATTCAGTTTTTGTAGGGGGCTTTTGCGTAGTCCTAAATCGATAGCATACCAACTGTATTCACAAGAGCTGGGAGGAAAGGATTAATGGCCCCTCCCGGAGATCATTTATAGATAATGTGCTACGGAATCCTAAGCGTTCAACCCCATTGCTGAGGTTTTTGGTGCAAGGTGAGCCAGCCAGAAAGTGGAGTGCCGATGGCAATGTGGAACTGTACACCAAGTACCAATGAGACCCACTCTCATCTCACCTCGCTGGGCCAGGACCTGGTTCTGAACAGGGCATTATTCCAAATAAGGAAATACTACCTGTGGATCTAAGGGGACAGATGCTAATTCTCAGAGCTATGCCTGTAATCCCAGCACTCTGGGAGGCTGAGGCAAGAGGATGGAAAGGTTTGAGTGAGGTCTGAGCAATATAGTGACTTAGCGAAACTCTGACTCAAAATAAAAAGGGTTGGGGACATAGCTCAGTGCAAAGGCCCTGGGTTCAATCCCCAGTACTGGGGGGAGAAAAAGACCACACTACAGGTTCACAACTAATAATGGCCATGTCTTTACAAAAAATCAAATAGAGGAACCCTTCTGCCATTAATCTATCTTGTCCTACAAATACTTGCTATACCTTGTTGGGCCCCAGCACCTCAAAGGCACATGGGCTAGGATTAGGATCAGGAAAGCTTTACTTCCTTCTACCCCCAATTTTCTCCTGACTTTGCTACAAACTTCCTCCTGGAACTTAACCCTTCCTGTCTCACCTCTCCTTCCCTAAGTGGGGAAGGAATCAAACAGGACACTACTCACCCCATGCTAGTAACCATGCTACTCCCCAACTGCCCTATAACATACTAGCCTCAGATGAAACCACCCATTCCTGTCCTAAAATGTCTTATTTTCTGCTTTCCCTGAAAATAGAAGGGCAGATGGGGAGACAGAAATACACACGCTCAGGTGGGAAAATTGAGCCAGATGGGCCTGGCTCTTGTCCCCTCCTTAGGACAGGAACCTTTAGAGACCAGTAGGAGAGTTCAAGAGAGGAAGGCACCGAAGGGATCAGCTCCAACCCTTTGGTATCCAGGACAGCATATTTAGCCATTTACCTCCACCTTTTAAGATGGTGGCAAAGAGACTAGCAGGAGGACTCAGCTCTACTGGGAGACTCTTCCCCAGGATCCGGAAGCAGCTTCTTTCTGCTTCCTGTGAGTCCCGAGACCCTGCACGTAGCCTGGGCCATGGATCTTTGAATATCTGAATCATGCGTAAAAGTGTCTTCTACCAGGCTAGGGAACATGACAGCATCCTCTGCACCTTCACCCGAGCTTGGACACAGCGGGCGTTTAACAACAGTCCTCTGAATGCACGCAGTACCCATCTCTCCCTACCTGGTCCTGCCTCCTTCTTTTGGGAGTCACATCTTTTGCTTAAAAGTTCTCAGAAGATCCCAGAAAGGAAATGGGAGAGGACCTTCTTGCTCTGGAAGTAAATCTATGATCTCCTATCACTTAGGCCCAGCATCGGATCATTTTCTGGACAAAAGAGCCCTTTTGCTTCAATTCCCTGGAATCGGTCATACAAATATGTTAAATCACCTCTGAAATCAGCCTTTCCCCAGACTCAGCCACCCAGTCCCCACTAGGGTCTGTATCAGCACAGTCCAGTTTCCAAATCTCCTTGCTCCCTGTTTTCTCTCTCCAGTGTGAACACAGAGGCCTCCACCGTGCTGATGGGCTGAGGCGTGGCCATCCCTGACTGGTTGCACCCAGTACCAGGTAAGACAGCTAGCTAAACCTTCACACCTTCACACTTTTCCAGAACGCGCCTTTCATCAGGCTACCTCATCTGCAAGAAAGCCTGGGGAGAACACTGCACGAACTTCAGGAGGCAGCCCAAGCTCCAGGGTAAAATGTAAGGAAAGATCTAAAGCCCATGGTTGCGTCCAAGGGTGCCGTGACCATTTGGAGCCCCCCTTGGCTGGGATGGTCAGTCAGGGACAACACAGAGTATCCCTTCTCCTCCTCCCTGGCTGCCCTCACTCAGCAGCTGGCCAGGAAAGATAGAAGGACCCGCTGCCAGCCGCCTACCTCCTTCCATCCCATCATCCATCTCCTTTCTTTCCCTGTTAGTCCTATTGTGTTCACCCTCGGTCCAGGTGCCTTTGATGTTTAACCCCTCCCATAAGGAATGAGTTCTGGAGATGCGGGTGTCTGGAAAAACCTATCTCCACCCTGCCCGCGGCCCCCTCCCACACACACCAGAAGTAGACTTTTGGGCCAAAATGCCCTGAGCATTCTGAGGCTTGCAAGACTTCAATGCTAGGGTCTGAAACGTTACTCTGGAATGCGCCCCACCCCCAGCCACTTCAGAAGACTGGAAGGGGGGTGGTTTCCAGCCACAAAACCCTACTAGTACACATTCTGGTCCGCGGGCTTTAGGATCACGATCATGGAGTTTTAAGTGATTAAACCTTCCCGAGTGTAAAGCTGTGGTCTGGGGATAGAAGCAGAAAAGGCTCTGGAAAAGGGAGGACGGGAATGGGATCTAGAAGCCAGGCTGCCAGAAGCAGAGGCACAGTTACAGTCCGAAATCCCAAACTTCCTGTAGGGAGATCCGAGCCCTTCCTTCCCCACTCCAGGCTGGGCTGCTGGGGGTCTGGTCTACGTGTGAACCAAAAGCACAGGGGAGCCAGCCACTCTTCCGCCCATTTCCTCTGACTGAAGAAACTGCCCTCCCCAGCCACGGCAGGGCAGCCGAGAGGACACCGACCCACAAGAGTGGCTGTCGGCCGTGGACTCGCGCTGAGGCAGGGAGGTGGGTGGGGGACCCCCCTCAGACACACCGACTGCGGAGTCCTTGCCCGCCCTCAACCCCGAGCCGCAGCGCCCGGCTTCCCCCACCTCGCGTCCCCAACTGACTCGGGCTAGAAAACTTTCTACGACCGAGCAGAGTTGGCGGGGCGCGCC